CCTGAATGTCCCTACCCCTGGCGGCTCCCCCTTGGGAGTGCTCAAATAAGCGCCTCGCCGGAGACGTCCTCACAATCTGCTCTGGAAGCAGTAGATGTTGGGCATCCGAAAATGCAACCCTCTTCAGACATCTCCACAATCTGCGCGCGAATCCTGGAATCTTCCCCACCCCTGGCGGCTCCCCCTTTGGAATGCTCAAACCAGCGCCTCGCCTGAGACGTCTTCACAATCTGCTCTGGAAGCAGAGGATGTTGGGCACTCAATCGGGCAAATCGCTCAAGATATCGCCGCAATCTGGGCGCGAATCCAAGCGGCTCCCCCTTGGGAGTGCTAGAACCAGCGCCTCGCCTGAGACGTCCTCACAATCTTCTCTGGAAGCAAAGGATGTTGGGCACCCGAACCGGCAAATCGCTTAAACTATCCTCACAATCTTGGCGCGAATCCTGAACGCCCCCACCCCTGGCAGCTCCCCCTTAAGTGCTAAAGCCAGCGCCTCGCCAGAGGCATCCTCACGATCTGCTTTGGAAGCAGAGGATTGGGCACCCAAACTGGCAAACCGCCTGAAACATCCCCACAAACTGGCCGCGAATCCTGGAGAGTCCCCACCCCTGGCAGCTCCCCCTTGGTGTGCCCAAAGGCCCCGCCTGCAATGTCGCGGTGAGCAGTGACCCAAGTGAATCTGAGTATGAGTAAGTCTGATTGTGGGTGAATTTGAGGATGAGTGAGTCTGGGTATGAGTAAGTCTGAATACGAGCGATTCTGAGTGCGAGTGTGTCTAAGTATGAATGTGTCGGAGTATGAATGAGTGAGTCTGCGGAAGAGGAGGAGGGTGTGAGGTGTGATGGAGGAGGTCTGGAGGCGTCAGAGTACCAATTGCTCGACGCGAAGATCCCCATATGTACATCTCATACTCCTGTCACATCTCGCTGAGGCACTCACTCTCTGAGCATGTGAGTGTGAGAGCGAGTTAGCGTGGACGACGGGTGCGACAACGACGACGGCGACTGCGACGACTTCAGTGACGTCCTCCTTCCCTAGGCATCTTTCAGAAGAGACGAGGGAAGCACAAGTGGAAGAGCGAGAGAGCATCGGACCACCGAAAGAGAGACGACTGAGTGAATATGTGCGTAAGTGATCTGAGTGTGAGTGTTTATGAGTGTGAGTGGACCCATATATGGCTGAGTGTGTGTGTGTGTGTGTGAGAGAAGTCGTAGGTATGATCGCGTCTGAGTCCGAGTGGGTCTAAGTATGCGTACGTCTGAGTATGAGTGAGTCTGAGTGAGAGTGAATCTGAGTGTGGGTAAGTCTGAATGTCTTTGGGTCTGAGTACGAGCGGGTCGGACAATGAGTGAATCTGAAGGTTGGTGAGTCCGAGTGAGTTTGAGCATCAGTGAAATGAGCAGGAGTGTGAGTAAGTCCGAGTGTGAGTTAGTCTGAGTGCGATTGAGCCTATGTGAGCGAGTCTGATTGTGAGCGGGTCTGAGTCAGAACAAATCTGGGTATGAGTGGGTTTGAATATGGAGAGTGTGTGAATGACGTCCTGAGTGTCTGGGTAACGCGAGTCCAAAAACACGCCTGAGGGCCGACACAGGCTGACCGGCGGAGACGTCCCAACAATCTGGGCGCGAACGGGCCCGAGAGAGGTGCGCCCTGGCTTTGGGAGTGCTGAAGCAAGCGCCTCGCCTGAGACATCCCCGCAATCTTCCGCTGAAAGCGAATGATGTTGAGCACCCAAGCAAACAGATCGCCCGAGACATCCCCACCAACTGGGCGCGAACTGGCCCGTGAGATATCGCCTGGTGGTTCGCCTTTGAAGTGTTGAAGCCAGCGCCTCGCCTGAGGCATCTTCACAATCTGCCCTGAAAGCAAAGGGTATTGGGCACAGAGCAGGCAAACCGCTTGAAACATCCCCACAATCTGGGCGCGAACGGAGGAGTGAGAAACCCCCTGGCGGCTCCCCCCTAGAGAGTGGTGAAACCAGTGCCTCAGCAAGGATGTTGGTCACCAGGCAAACCGCCTGTGAGATCCCCACAATTTGGGCGCGAACAGAGGAGTGAGATACCCCCTGGCGACTCCCCCCTTGGGAGTGCTGAAACCAGCGCCTCACCTGGGAGCTCTGCTTCGTGCCCGCTTCACTGGTGTTCTGCCCCACTCGAGCATTTAGACCGGATGTAGAGATGTGGTTCACATGTGGCTACCTATCTAGTGTTCTTCGGCCCAACCCGCAGCGGTGCGTTGGTTGTGGACCAGAGGCCTTTATAGATGCCTCCTGGGTTGTTTTGGGCTTCTTGGGGCTTCCATGTGCCTCTTGGGCTTCGTCGGGGTCTCCAAGGTCCTCATTTTGGGTCGGGAATAGTTGGTCCATCGTGAAACATGTTGGGGAGGAAAGGCTCCGTAGACACATTCGCTTTCCCTCTATTGAGGCCCACTAGGGGGCCGTTTTGAGGCCTCTTTGTGTCTCTGGGAGCCCTCTTGAGGTTCCCTGGGCGGCCTAATTAGT